CAAGAAGTCCCATCCAGGGACAGAACTGTCAGCACAGCTCCTACGAGGGGTTTTTTCCAACCCAGATGAAGCCTTGAGAAGGGTGAGGAAAGGGGACTTGGGGAAAAACGCCCGTTCCAGAGGGTTGGAGAAACTGGCTTCAGTGTTCACATGAAGATGCCCAAGGAATGACAAAAATCAAGTAGGGGAGGAGAAAAAAAAGCCCAAAGAAATCCATCTAGGAGCTCTCAGCCCGACGTAGGTGGGGGTAGCTCTGCAGAGTCCTGGCTATGGCCTCATCCAGGCTCACCACTGGCTTGTAGCCCATGTCCCTTTTGGCCCTTTCACAGCTGTAATAGTGAAAGGTCCCAGCCAAAGCCACCCTCATGGGGGTAAAGGTGGCCTTGATGGTGACCAGGGGACTGAGGAGCCACAGCACCAGGGACAGGATGAGGGCCAGGTGATAGGCCAGCCAGTAGGGGATGTGGTACTTGGGGGGGTCGTAGTTCAGGCCAGTCAAGATGCGGGACAGGAAAGCCCAGAAAGGAACTGGTTCATCATTTGTGATATGGAAAGCCTGGAAGAGAGGAAGACAAAGAGCCAGGTAAGGACATCGTGGCTTTCAGGTTGTCCCTGGGCTGGCCCAGCTCGTGTTCATGCTGAGGACACGTTGCCATGAGACACTGCTTTGCACTGACCACCTCTCTGAGGCAACAAACCTCTCCTTGACTATGAAATCTGGCTACTCCTGACACTCCACAGGCTCACACCACTCAGAAATGCTCAAAAGGAATGACACAACACAAGGCAAAGAAGCTCAACACCCCCCAGTGCATGCCCAGAGCATGGGGGTGCCACAGACACCTGTAAAAGTCCAACCATCCCCCAGGTCCCCACTGCCCCACCACATCTCCAGGGCTTGGGAACCCCTCCAGGGGTGGGGGCTCCACCCCTGCCCTGGACAAACCTTTTGGGAAGACATTTTTCCTCAAAACTAAAGCTCCCCTGGTGCAACTTGATGCCTGTGTGGTTGCAAACAATGGTCTCCAGGCCAGTAACCATCCCTTGTGCCCACAGAGAGAGAGAAAACCCAACCAACCCTTTTGTGTGCCCTGGTCCCACTCTGTTGTCTCCCAGAGGGATGTTCCACAGAGAGAAAAGTCAGCACGAGTTACAGAGCAGAAGCCAAGTGAGGCTGGTCCAGGGGACACCCACTCCCCTTCCCCAGACCCCTCCTTACCTTCCCACACAGGGGAGAGCCCTTCTGGAGATTCTCTGCAGCCAGGATGTGTCCATGGACCACGTTTTCCACATAGGTGAAGTCCACCAAGTTCTTCCCATCCCTGCAGAGCAGAAGGAAGATGTTGACCCCTCTGGCAAGCTAGGCTGGAAATCTGCTTGTGGCAAGAGGAAGGGTTTCCACACAAGATCTATTTATTCCAAGTTTTCTCTCCCTCTCTTGTGCTGCAGCTTCTTCTCTGACCCTGTCACTGCTCACTCTGGACACAAAGGAAGAGCTGTTCTTGTCTCAGCTCTTACCAGGGCCCTCCAAGTTTCCATTCCTGTTACAGCAGCATTTTTAAACCTCCCAAGTGGCTGAGTTTCAGTGCTGCTGATCCTACAGGTCTCAGACTCAGCAGAGTGATCCACAGAAGCAGAACAGACAGGAGCAGAGTGGTAACTAGTATAAAGAAAGTCACTTAAGGCTTTCAAGGAGGAATTTCCTGGCTCATGAAATTCTAACTTACACCCTCACTGAGGCAACTTCAGCCCCAGCTGGGGCAGTTTTAACCCACCCCACAGTGTGAAATCTCTTTCTACATACTGAAAAGGAATCCACACATCACTTTCAAGAGCCCAGCTCAAGCAAAGTTTGTTACAAAACCATCTCCCCACTCCATTTGGCCCTAAAAATGAAAAGTATTGCTGCAATCCAGCACTCTGAGAAAGGATCATTTCCAAAGGCTGTTTCAGGGGCTTTCCTGGAAGGGATCTACAGCTCTGTAGAGTGAACTCAGCCAAGGAGGACACAGCCTCACACCAAGTGGGAGCCTTGGGTAGCTTGGCTGCTCACAGATCAGCCTGAGAGATGGAGTCAAAAACTCCAAGGATAGATTAATTCAATTCATCTGAGCTCTCTCACTTTTCAAAGGAGAGTTTTTTGGACAAGGCAAGACAGCTCAAGCTCTGCCAGCTTTTTCCACTGATCTTTTTAGCACCACAAACACTGACCTAGGTGCACAAGTCCCTCACACAGAAGGGTTTTTAAAACAAGAACCCTGAATCACAAGTGAAAAAATTATGGTTTTTTTTTTTCCATGCCACTGATTCAACATCTTTCCCTTCCAAAAGGGCCTTTGCAGCTTCAGCAGCACTTTTAACCAAAGCTAGGGAATGAATTAGCCTGGCTCACCCAATTATGAACTTCATTTTGCCACTCTTGGCTGCTTGGATGAGGATAGGAACCAGCTGAGGGTCTCTAGGACCAAAGATCCCATGGGGACGAATGGCAGCAGTGAGGAAATTGTTGTCTGGGTCGTTTGCACTCAGCACCTCCTGTAGGGGGGAAAAAAGAACACCAAAATCAGGGGGGAATGGCCCCAGAGGAGATCACAGGTTAGGAATCCCTTCCTAACTCATCCTTAAAGGAGGTGGGTGCTCCCCTGTTTCCTCAGGAAGGCATCAGTGGGAGAATTCCTGCTGGATTGTCTGTTGGATATCCAAGGAAAACACAAACAAATAAACACTGATCACAAGCAGACTGGGCTACACTTGATTGCTGCTCCTAAGCTTCCACTTTACCCCAAAGTGCTTGCACTTGTGCAGGAAAAGATGGGTTCCTGGTGTGTTTTCAGCTAAGCTCTCTTCAAGGAACATAAGAAAAAGTCTTTAAAGGCTAAAACCCCCCCTTTGCTAGCTTCAGGACAGAAGCCAGTCCAAATTCTCCATGCTCAGCTTCTTTCCACGACTGAAATTCAAGACATTGGAAGAAGGTTGAAAAAAAATGCTTGGTTTTAAATAAAAAAAAAATATAAATCAGTCACACAGTATTTAAACCCCAAATACTGCATCCCCAAAACCCTGGAGCAGATCTCTGTCAGTTCTTATTCTTCAGAAAGAACCTTTACACTGCAGCACATGATTTAAATCAACTCCTCCAGCCATTTACACCCTGGTTTCATCCAGTTCTCCTTTTACTGAGTAAACACACTGCTGCAGCCTCACCAGTGTCTCTGTTCAGCCCATCTCCAGAGCAGAGAAGAGGGATTGGGAAAAGGAGCAGAGAAGTGGGGTTGAAATGAAAATGGATTTAACAGGACAGCCAAATTAGCATCAATGCTGACAGCAAGATAAAACACACACCAAGTCACCCTCAGCTCAGCCAGCAGATGGTCACAACACAGCAGAAAGCAGAGTCCTCAGGAGCAGGATGCTGAGGGAATCCCTCCAGGGGTGAGGGAAAAGAGCCCCCACCTTCAGCAAACTTCCCCCCTTTCTAATGAGGGTGATGCTTCTGGTCTGAGCTACCCCTGGAGCCAACTCAGATCAGCTGCCCTGCCTCCCAAATTCCTCTCCTGGCAGCTGCTCCCAGGCTGCAGAGTGTGGCTGGCCCAGGATTCCACCCCAGTCAAAGCAGGACCCCCAGCCATGAAGCCCCAGCTGAGTCCTGGAGGGTTTGGAGTGGTGGAGAGCTGCTTGGAAATTGTGCCTTGGGAAAAGGGTGCAGGTCACCCAGGAGGGACCCAGGCAGCAGCTGCCTGCCAGGCTGCTCTCTGAGAGAACAAATCTGCAGCCCACTAGCCAAAAATCAGAGAGATTTGGGCCAAAGGAGGGAATTTCCTCAGTTCTACTCAAAGCTCTGGCAGGCACCACTCCACAGGAGTGACTGGGCAGAATGAGACACTTCTTAAGGCAAGAGAAACTCTGGAGAACCACAGAGATCTCTTCAGCCTCAAGGAGCCTGTTGCACCCCCTGGACCACATCCTGCTTTTAGAAGGGCAGTTTTAAGCATCAAAAAAAGAACCTAGGGTGCCAAATACCTTCTCCTGGAGGATCTTGGTCTCTGTGTAGTAGTCGATGGGTTTTCTTGCATAAGGGAGATCTTCTGATCCATTTTTTATGTCTGTGCCCTCAAAAACCACACTGGCACTGCTAGTTAACACCAGTTTCTGCAACAGGGGTGAAAGAAAACAGCTGATTATAGATAAAAAATGACAAAAGGGTCGTTATTTAGAGTAAAGGCAATAATTATGTTTAATCCACTGATCCTACAGATAATAAAGCCTAGAAGAACACAGGCCAAGAGGAAAACCACCTGAAACTGCAGGTAGGAAAAGCCCCACTCTTTTCATTGACTCTGTCACATTGTTTAGAGTTTCTCAGAAGAGATTCAAACACCTGAACAGGCACCCAAGGGAAGACATCTCCAGGAAAATCTGAGTGCCACTCAGCACATTTTAGCCCTTAACCTTCCACAAGTGTGGGGGGTTTTTTCTTAACAATGGATTTGCTCACCTGGATGACAAGTTTCATGGCAGATTAAACCCAAAAGGAATTCTCATCTGGGATGAAAACACATCCTAGTGGATTCAAACAAAAACCCACAACCTTGCCCTGTTTCCTCTGGCTCTTTTTTTTGGGGGGATAAATGACTTCCTAAAGCAAATGGCCCCAAGCTGGCAGCACAGCTCAGAGCATTCCCACAGGCAGCAGGTGCCACCAGGACTCCTGCTGCTGGGGAAGCTGCTGCTTGAGCTGTCCCCTCATCCCAGCAGGGCAGAATCCACCCCTCTGGGAGGACACATTTCACTGGCTGCTTTCCCTGCAGTGAGATTTCAGGTTTCCTCTGTGTGTTCCTGCAGCTTTTCTGGGGTAGGCATGGACTGAGCTCACAGCAGCCACTAAGGAGGAGACCAAGAGTGTCTCCTCTACTAATTTTCACAGATTATCTCAAGACCTCTATCCAACCAGCCTGGAATTGCTCCATGCTGTGCTCCTCCTAAGGTCACACCAGCACCTTACAGCCTCCAGGGGGTTTTCTCCACCCTTACCTGCACTCCAGCTTCTTTGCAGGCTTCAATGACTGCTTTGGTCCCCAGGAAGTTCACCTGGTAGAAGAGTTCCCTGTTGTCACTGGAAGGGGCTGGGGAGGCACAGTGGAACACCACCCAGGAGCCTCTCAGGGCTGGGAGCAGAGCCTGGAAGAGACAGCAACAGCCCTGGAGCCACTGCAGCAGGGTCCTCTCAGGAGAAAAGGGGCAGGGAGGGGATGAACCACAGCTCTTCTTCTCATGGCAACAACTGCTCCATATCAAATCATCTTCCCTTCACAGAAGGTGAGCAGCTGGGAGAGGATTTGTGCCCAGGATCTTCACCATGGCCTCTCCTCCCTGCTAGGCAAGACCTACAGCATCTCCCCTTCCCAGAGCAGACCCTGAGAACCTCCTGAGACCTGCAGGCTACCTACATTTGAGTAATTGCAGCAGTCTCAGGTGCAGGAATGAGGCTGAAAACTCCCTGGAGAAAGGAGTGAGGAGGCCCAGCAGGGCTGGCAGCCAGCAGAGCCCCTCAGCACTGTCTGTGCTGCCTCACACAGCTCCCAGACAGAGCTTCCTTCCTGCTGGTGGGGACACCTCTCCTCACAGGACACACAAAGGTTTCTCTGAGGCTCACACACATCACTGAGCCAAGGCAGGAGGCCCCAGTGTCCCTCAGCTGTGAGGAACAGCTGCCTTCTGCTCTCCTCCTGCAGCTGAGCACAGCCAGGAGAGCACCCAGGAGCAGTTACCCCTGGGGGTGTAATTAGAGTGGAGATCTCAGTTAACTGTCATGCAAATCACCCCCCAGAAACAAGTCCTGCCCAGCTTCAGGCAGATGTCAAGGCTCTCTGAATGTTCTAGGGGAGGGTTCCACAGAAAACAGCTCAGGCTGCTGAGTTCCCAGGGAACTGGGGCATAGCTGCACCCCCCTCAGAGCCAGGGCAGTGCCCTCAGGGGCTCTGCAACCACAGAACCCACAATCAGAATCCTTCTGGTTGGCTGAGACCTTCAGGGCCATCAAGTCCAACCATCCCCCATCCCTGCCAGGTCCCCACTGCCCCGTGTCCCTCACCCCACATCTCCACGGCTTGGAACCCCCTCCAGGGGTGGGGACTCCACCACTGCCCTGGGCAGCCTGGCACCGCCCTGGGCAACCCTCCAGGGCAAGAAATTGTTCCTCAGGGCCAACCTCAACCTCCCCTGGGGCAACTTGAGGCCCTTTCCTCTTGTCCTGTCCCTTGGGAGCAGAGCCCGACCCCCCCCTGGCTCCAGGCTCCTGTCAGGAGCTGTGCAGAGCCAGAAGGTCGCCCCTGAGCCTCCTTTGCTCCAGGCTCAGCACCCCCAGCTCCCTCAGCTGCTCCTCCCCACACTTGGGCTCCAGACCTAGTGCTCCAGGCAAAGCTCTCTGAGCTGTCTCAGTGTTCATTCAAGCAGACATCCTTTCTCTCCAGGCACTGAGGTGTGTCTGTACCTCTTTGTCACAGAGGTCCCCCAGGAAGAACTGCACTCTGTCACTCTCCAGTCTCTTCTGGAGGTCAAACACGTTGACTCTGTAGCCCTTCTCCAGGAGCTGCTCCACCAGGTGCTGGCCCAGGAACCCCGACCCGCCGATCACCGTGCACTGCTTAGCAGCCTGCAGGGGGAGAAGCATCCAGTGAGCAGCCACAGCCCGGCAGAACACACACGGGACCCAGCCCCACCTTCCTCAGACCACAGAATCCCAAATCCCAGCGTGGTGGGGTTGGGAGGGACCTCTGGAGATCATCTCCTCCCACCACCCCTGCTCCAGCAGCTCCCCCCCAGCAGGGTGCCCAGGGTCACAGCCAGGAGGGTTTGGGATCTCTCCAGAGCAGGAGACTCCACAGCCTCTCTGGGCAGCTGCTCCAGGCTCTGCACCCTCCCAGCAGAGAAGTTTCTCCTCCTGCTCAGGTGGCACCTCCTGGGTTCCAGTTGGTGCCCGTTGCCCCTTGGCCTGTCCCTGGGCACCACTGACAAGGGTCACTGCAGGGTTACACTCAGCTGGGGACATGAATTATGACCCTCTCCCCCACAGCCCTACCTCAGGGGTTCTGTTTCTTTGTTCCTAAAATGCCTGAGACTCACTCCCCACCCTGTGAGTTTCATGGGAATTAGTGAGAAAATGGTTTAGGAGGTAAAAATTTCTCTATGAGAAGAACCATCATGCAACAGAAATCATAAAAGGGATGGCCCAACACCCTCTGAGCTAAAGTGGTGCCCTCAGGGATCTCAGCTGGGCCTTTTTCTGCACTACAACCCTATCAGGGAAGTAGAAATGACCCTGGAGTATCTAAATCTCCAGACCAATGAATGTGGGAGCACTGACAAAGCCACTGGAGCATTTTTGGATCTCTAGGGAGCTAAGAGCAGCAAAGATGCCTTGGGAAATCATCTTGTCACCTGCCAGCACCCCCTGGAGTTGGTGTGAGCTGGGCCATGGTTTAGTGGTCACAGCAGTGCTGGGGTGATGACCTCAGAGGCCTTTTCCAACCTGAAGGATTCTGTGATGAAGGAACAGCCTCGTGTCTTGCCTAGCAACCTTCAGAAGAGGCACCTGCTGATCCTGTGCTTCCAGGAGCTAGGAAAACAGATTCCTGCAGGATAAATCTTCACCTGAGCCCCCCACTCACCGATCTGAGGCGTGTGGCCATTTCTCAGGTAACTCAGTGTCAACAAGATGCCTTTAAAATAGGAGAATATTGTTTTAATTCACAGAAAACAAACTTTTTATTAAAAAACCCCCACTTTTCTAGCCACAGAAATCAAGGTTTGCAGCAGACAGGGCCCAGTGGGGACATCTCCCAGGAGTCTATGTCCTGAGAAGGTTTTTTTTTAACCCAATTTCCTTCTTGAAGGGCCCAAAACTGAGCCCAGGAT